ACGCATGGTTAAATGACTTGAAATTCCCACGAGTCCTCCTTTAACAGTTTATAGGCCTCTCTCCATTCCTGGGCCCATTTCTCCCGTAACCATGGAAACAAAAGGTTCAGCTCCAGCATCCTTAGGATGAGTCCTTCTTGGATTTCCTCTTCCTATCGATTCGCCCAAATTAGGCACCACTCGCAGGGTTGATCCAATACCCCCCCTTTTTTTTTTTTTTTCCCCTTGTGCTTCGGCGTATGACATTGGAGGACAAGATCCTGGTCTCAGCAATGCACATGGATAATTACAGTCTTATAGGCAGCAGAAAAAATAATTTAAAAAAATAGTAATACTCAAAAAAGCCACCCCCCAAAAGACCAATCTCAAGCTCAGGACAGCCAGGCAGGGCTGGGGAGGGGATGTGGTCCCCGTGAGGGTCCACATGTGTGGACCTTGCATGGTTACATGATGTCCAACAGCTCCTATAAGCCAAATTGTTCCCCTCGGAGGGAAAAACACGGATAAGGAATTTCTCTCTCATCACATACAACTGGGCTGGGGGATCTCATCCCCGAGTGTAAATCAGTGTTGTGCTCTCGGGGATGATTTACACCACCAGAGAACTCCTGCCATGGGATGCGGCAGGATCAGAGCACTCATTGCTGACAAGAGGAGGATGAAATTTGGGCAGCCAAATGGAACAACATCATGGGGAGACTGAGGCCCTGGGGTGCCGTTCCCATGGGGGCTGGGGAAGGGCAGTGCTTTGGCTGGAGGCAGGACAGTGCCTGGTGCATGCAGCAGGGGACCTTGTCCCCCCTTGGGGCTCCTGGTGAGGGGCAGCAGCTGGTCCTGAATGGGAGGGACCAAGGGATGTGCTGGACATGGAGGAGGATAAATGCTGCCAGGGGCATAAAGAGAGAGCCACAGCATTTTTTTTTTGGGTGCCGAATGAAATGGTTTGAGACTGACTCCTCCTTTCCTCACTCCTCAGCCCCTTTCACCCTAGCAGCGTGCTGACCCACTGACAGATGAAACCTCTGGGACCCCACCATGGATACAGACCTTGAGATAAACCTATTCCAGCTCCAAAACAGGGAGATGCTTCTTGCCACCACCCTGGATCCCAAAGCCAGCATGGTTTGAGAGACTTAAAAATACAGCCATTCAAAAAAAAAAATACCCAAAACCCTCCACCTGGTGCAGCCCAGCACCTGCATTACAAACAAATCCCTTCAACTTCTCGGCTTTCCTCGCACAGTCACAGAAACGGTTGTGACGAGCCCAAGCCGAGGATTCAGGATGGAGAGCAGAGATGCTGCAAAGCTGCTGGTTTGCAGAGGGATGACAGAGCCAAATGCCACCAGCCCCTCAGGATGTTCCCACTCCCAAGGCTGGATCTGGATCTCCTTCCCTTGGACCCATCCCTAAGTGCTTTGCAAGCTCTGGAAAAGCTACAAGACTTTGGCAGCAATTTCAAGGGCTGACCCAGGAATTATCTGATAACAAAGCAAGGCCCTTCCTGAAATACCTCCTCCTCCTCTGTCTTTTTCTCTCCTTCTGTGTATTTATGCACAAATATGCCCATATTTATACACCCACGTGCTACACGCTCATAACACCAATCTAGAGATCCTTCTCTTCGTATAGCTCAGTATTCAAATCTTTTGGACTTCAACACAAAACATTATAACAGAGATTAATATTCCTGATAAAACACAGTGCCCCATACATATGATTTTTTTCCTAGCAGCCCTAAACACTTGGTGGTGTCCAACCAATGCATGAGCCTCACTCCATTACCCTTGGCAGAGATTTTGGAAGGTGTTAATGAGCTAAGAAGTTGCTCGCAGGCTTGGGCATGTGGTTGGGTGTTAGCAGACAACCCGCACTGTAGATCACCACTTTCCATCTCTGCAAAACCATGGCATAAAGGATAAAAGTGAAATACTGGTGCTGTCTCATCTGGGTGCCAACCCAGGAGCACCTCCAACAGACCAGAGAGCTTCAGTCCTCCATCCCACTCCTGGAGAGAGGCAAACATCTCCACAGGATGAGGAAAGGAGCCAGACCACCTATGTTAGGTGGCCCGATGTGATCTAATGTAGATGGTGGGACTGTCCCCATCCATGGTCTCTAATTTGGCATCCTCAGTCTGAGCCACATTGTGGCTGGTTTTTACACCCTTTCAGAGTCAGGGGGAGTTTTGGATGCTCAGAAACAGATCCAGAGTCTCTCAAACCAAATTCTTCAAGGAAAAAAAAAGAAAAAAGAAAAAAAAAAAAAGAAAAAATCACAGTCTCCTCCTGAAAACTGGTTCAAGATCACATCAGTGAGTCAGAAGCAAAGCTAGAAATAGCACTAGAGCTCCGACCTGCAGGCACAAATCCCATTAAAAGCTATAGGGGAACCATTTCTCTGTGCGAGGGAGAAACCTGGACCCTTCTGCTTCTCGCAGCCTGACGGATCGCTTCCATCCATGGCCCCCACGGACCTTTTTCACCCTGAACTAAACATCCGAGCGCTTTTCTGGGTGTTTTGCCCGTTTCCCAAACACGGTGCCAAAGGCTACCCAGAGATGCTGTCCCACCAAGGCTTGTTTTCCCCAGGAACATCTGCCTGGGTCAGTGCAAGAGGTGCAGGATCCATCCTAAGGAAGGGACGGGCCATGCTGGCCCCTGCTGTGGGGACAGCTGCCAGCTCACATCAGTGATAACAGGAGGAACGTGGCCTCTTGCTCTTTGGCCCCGTTCATCCCTGCCATGCAACTCCGGGGCTTCCCAAGGCAGCTGGGAACCCCCGGCTTGGCATATGGGTTTGGATGTGCCTGATCCTGCTCACAGACCTGCTCTCTCCTCCTGCCCGGCCTCAGAAAACCTCCAGGAACACCGTGCCCAAAACGCCACCTCCCCAGAAAACCCATGCTCTTCCTCCTTACCAAACCACTATGGCACTCATGGTCCCAAGACGTGCCCAGTACTTTGGCAGATGCTCCCCTCAAACCATCCGAAACTCGCAGGCACTAAACAACCAGGCACTTTGCAAAGTCTCATTGAGCACCAGCATCCTCCCCAAAAAACCGCAGCAACCTGCCCTCGGCCTCAGTGCTCCCCACACACCAGGGATGGGATCACACCGTGCCAGGGGCACTCACGGGTGGGCGGGCAGCATCCCGGTGCATCGGGCAGCTTCCCTGTGCAAACTCACATCCCCATGGACCCACCGCAAGCCGGATCGATGGAAGCTGGCCGACTGCCCTGGGAATGGCACCCCAGCTGGTGGCACACGCCAGCCCCGTCCCATTCAACAGGATGAACTTCAGAAGCAGAGATTTATTGCTTTCAGTTGCGTTGCTTCTTTTTGTCTGTGTTTAAGACGTTAACAGGCTTCAGGGGCTCCTGTTCCTGAGCTGCAGCAGAGGAGAAGGCCCCTAATATAACGAGATGTAATTGCAGACAGGCTGGGGTACCATGATGCACGGTGCTGAGAACTTTTGAGACCCAACTGCTGGTCCTCAGCACCAAGAAGAAGCCAGGACTCTCGTGCTCCAACCATGGACCCTCGGTATTAATTATAGCTGGGTCTGAATCAATCAATCAATCAATCAAATGAAAATGAGGAGTGATTCCACCTGGCTGAGTGGAGCCACATCAGCACGAGGGACGGATCGGGCCCTAAAGCAGCATTTTGAGCCATTGCTGTAGAATACGCTAGCACCGTTTATTTTATTGTTATTAGCACGGTTTTCCTCTCCGAGCTCAGGAAGGGTTCGACTGACCTCGCATGCTCTGCGGTGGGGGTTCCCTCCTTGTGCCCACACCTCAACGCAGTCGTACAGCACTGACCATGCCCCAATTCAGCCCAAATTCACCCCAACTCAACAGGCTGCTAAACCCCATCCCGCACCCCGGAGAGGTTTTGCTCAACCATGACCTTGGAACAGGTTTGCACCCCTCTCCCACGACCTGGCAGAGGAATGGGGCGCCCGTCCCCGGAGATTGTCAGCAATGGGGGGAAAACACAAGGAAATCCAGATGGGGATGGGGAAAGCAGATGAGATCCCCTCGGACCGACAGCTCCCACCTATCACCGAATAACACCGGAGATGAAGAAGAAGCAGAGACGACCCTGAGGTCTCTGCACCTCAACTCACCTCTCCTAAAAACCCTGGAAGAAGGCAAAGAAAAGGCTCAGAAGGGCCAGCTAGGACCCATCCCAGCCTCAGCACGTGCCCTCTCCACCATAAGGAAATAAACCACCAGCCCTGAGGCTCTACATGGTTGAAAAGTTTTCCAGCCCAAAACGCACCCTGCCCTGGTGATCCCACGAGCGCCGTGGAGCAGGTCATGCTCGTCCAGCCCATGACCCACCATCCCGGCACCCCTGAGCCGGGAAGCTCCCGATGACCTGAGCTCTCACATTTGCTGAGGATTCGGCCCTACAGTCGCTCTCTAAATATCTATATACACACACACAATAATCGTACGGGAAACGGCTGAAAATCGCTGAACAAACAAGTCGGGAGAGCCGGTACCTGCTATTCCACCTGCTCCTCGTGCCCTCTCTGATCCGCTGTGGGTTCTGCTCATGACACTAAGATGAATGACTAATTACTGGCCCCATAATGAGTGCAGGTGTTTAACTTTCAGCTCACCTTACCTCGCTCGCGTTAGTCGGCTCTTGCGTCCGGATGCTCGGACACTCAGGCTTTGCCTTGTTATCTATCAAACTGTTGTCAGCACATGCCTTCCCCATCCAGTTTTTAAATATAATGGTGATATTTTTAACTTCCACGAATCTCCTTCGAGCCACCGGAGAATCTATAAACACTATAAAGATGAATACTGTAGAGTCTACTAAGAAAATATATATTTGTGTGTGTATTAAATATTCAGATTCATGCAACAAATATCCATGCAGCTGTACTGTATTACTGGTTAAATTTCACTGCAGTATAAATATATTATAGGCCACAGCATAGTTGCTCCAGTTTTACATATAGATATAAAAAACGATGCTTTTCCCAACTCATTTTCAATGTGTCAGTGGAGGTGTCTTTGGTGATCCTGGAAATATCGGTGATGGAAGTGTCATCTAAATAAACAAATAAAATCCAAGCGCTTGATTTATTTACTCGTCCCTCCCGATGCCTAGCATAGAAAATTTAAGACTTAATAAATAATGTGCCGTCATACTAATTATCCCTCCCCTGGGCCTCACACTGGCATACTGCAGTGGCTGAAACTATTGCAGCATGCAGCATTTTCCGTTATGAAACACGAGCCTGGGCGATGCGTTCGCACTTGGCATTCCCGGGGCGGAAACCTGAGCCTTCCAGCAATTCGGACACACGACTGCATCTTCCCTTCGTTAAGCTCTGCCTGACCTTTCCCAGCCGTTCCCGATACCTGGAAGCTGGCTGTCACCCAGCTCCACGGGACAGGGACCGGCGCCCGTGGTACTCCGGGACAGTCCGGAGCTGCCCCCCTGTATCCCCATCCCTGTTGCTCGAAACGCCCAACCGCTCCGTATCTTCGGAAACCCACAAACCTGGGATGGGAGAAGGGAAACAAAATGGTTTGTGGGGTTGGTGGTTTGGGTTTTTTTTTTTGCACGGACGCTCGTTTGGTGTGGAAATCAAAGGTTAAAAGTCACTTACACAGCTATTGCTTCCCATGCAGAACCAAATATACACCGTAGAAAATACTGTAGTAACTACAATGCAGAGCAGCACTCAGTATCTGCGATTGTTCCGCTTCAGCTTTAAACACTAGATTTTAGCGACTAGACATCGGTTAGCATTTTGGTGATATTCACATAGTTTGTGTTAGCTAGGGTGCAATTGGCTGTCTTCAAGTTCTCCTCCCTAAAATCCTCATTGCTATTGTTTACGCCTTCCTGAATCTCCATATAATCAGACTTACTAATAGTAGAGGCACTTCTGCTTTTCTTTAGGTCAGGGGAAGAGGGGATCTTTGGGCAGCTGGTTACTTGCAAATATTGAGCCTGCTCCTCTCCCTCCGTCTCCCGGTGGTAGAAGTAATTGAAGTTAGACACTATGACGGGCACGGGTAAGGCAATCGTTAATACGCCAGCGATGGCACACAAGGAACCCACTATTTTCCCCCCAATGGTTGTGGGGACCATGTCTCCGTAGCCAACAGTCGTCATGGAAACCACGGCCCACCAGAAGGCATCGGGGATGCTCGGGAACTGGGACTCGCTCTCGTCGGCCTCGGCAAAGTAGACGGCGCTGGAGAAGAGGATGACACCGATGAAGAGGAAAAATATCAAGAGGCCCAGCTCCCGCATGCTGGCCTTGAGAGTCTGCCCCAGGATCTGCAGCCCCTTGGAGTGTCGGGAGAGTTTGAAGATCCTGAAGACCCGCACCAAGCGGATGACTCGAAGGATGGCCAAGGACATGGCTTGCTGGCCTTGCTGACCATCCTCCGGCTTCTCGGCCAGCTCCGTCCCTAAGGTGATGAAATAGGGAATGATGGCTACGATGTCTATAATGTTCATGATGTTGGTAAAAAACCCAGCCTTGCTGGGGCAGGCGAAAAACCTCACCAAGAACTCGAAGGAGAACCAGATGATGCAAAGTGTCTCCACGATGAAGAAGGGGTCTGTGAAAGAGGTGGACTGCTGGTACCCCATGCTGCTGTTGGAGTAGGGGGGATGGCTCAGCCCGCTGCCATGCATGTCTTCGTTCTCATCCCGAAAAATGGGCAACGTTTCCAGGCAAAAGCTGACGATGGAGATCAAAATCACCATGACGGAGACAATAGCTATAATCCTGGCAGGGCCTGAGCTCTCGGGGTACTCGAAGAGCAGCCACACTTGTCTCTGAAACTCATTCTCAGGCAACGGTCTTTCCTCTTCTTTGATGTAGCCTTCATCCTCCCGAAACATCTCCATTGCTTCTTCTCCCAGTTCATAGAAACGAATCTCTTCCGAGAAGATATCCAAGGGCACGTTAACCGGCCTCCGCAACCTCCCACCAGACTGGTAATAGTACAATATCGCGTCGAAGCTGGGTCTGTTCCGGTCAAAGAAATACTCATTCCGCAGCGGGTCAAAATATCTCATTCTCTTTTTAGGATCCCCCAGTAAGGTCTCTGGAAACTGGGCCAGTGTCTTGAGCTGTGTCTCAAAGCGCAGACCCGAAATATTAATGACCACCCTCTCGCAGCATTCATGGTCGGTCTCAGGGTTATACGTGTCCTGCGGGTGACCGGGAAGAGCTGCAGCTTCATCTGCAGGATCTCCAGTAGCAACTGTCATATTGGGGTTTAAAAGAAATCCTTATGCTAAACTCTTCCCAGTGCCCGGTGGTGGGATTGGATTCAGGGCAGGGCTACTATCCTGCAGAAGGACAGGTACGTAGGTTTGGAAGTGTCTCATGAAAAGGCGAAGGGATGATTAAATAAAAAAGAGAAAATAAAAAAATAAAAATAAAAACAAAAAAAGGAAAGAAAATTGCCCCTGCTGAGAAAGAGAGAGATGAAATAAAGTTGGGGGGAGGAGAGCAGCTCCCTTCACTAGCATGTCTATCCCCTTCCTTGGGGGGTTAATTTGCCTTCTTTGGGATTGAGTTCAAAAACTCCCCTCTAAACCCCTTAGGTGGAAGAGAGAAAACACCTGAGGAACCGTCACCTATTCAAAACTGGTGTGGAAAAACCAGTGCCGGCAAACCAGAACTTTTTTTGGCTTAAAAAAAAAAAAAAAAAAGGGAGGGGGAAGGAAAGAGGAAGGCAGGAAGAAAAATAACCCCATCCAGCCCTAAAGCGGCGAGGGGACCCCGCGGCGGGAGGCAGCCCGGGCTCAGCTCATTTCCAAGCATGCAGCGAAGGGTTAACATTCAACCGTGCGATCTCAGGCAATCTACCCTCTTAGCTGGGGAGGGGGGCTCCGGGATTTCGGCTGGGACACCTCCCCGCCCTGGCCATAACGCTTGGAGGTGACATGCTGCCCTCCCTGCCCGCCGCGGCTCTGCGGCCGCCTGGCATTTCGCGGTCGCCCGTGGCGGCGGGCCCCCCGGCCCCCCCC